TATATTTTTTAACACTTGTTGATTTTTTTAGAAACAACATTCAAAAAATACACATAAAATTAACCAAAATAAAAAGTTTAAAATAATAAAGCACTTATTTAAGTACAGAATAAGGTAATAAAAAAGGTATTTTCTCCCTAAAAACAGTTGCATTGTTTAAAAACATCAAAGACACGTTCAAACTACTAAACAAATAAATAAATGCAGCAAAAGTGCTTCCTTTCTCACATGAAATATCACTGAGATGATGCAGTCACTGCAACAGTTGTGTGAGCTCTCTCTCTTCTCTCTCCTCCATCTCATCTGTACTATCTTACTCTTTGTCTCTTTCTTTCAGACCCTGTTTTTTCATACTGGAAGAGGAGGGGTGAGGGGGTGGGTCATTATTCTATTTAAGAGGTACAATTTTAGTAATGGCTTTTGCTGCAGTCCACAGAGACATAGCCAGCCTCCCTCAATATCCTGAACATTATTTGCTCATTTAGTTAAATGATGTTTCTAATTGGTTCATAATTAGTTGTAATGAGGCGGGCCCGAACGTCTCTGATGCAGATACGTCTTAATTCAACATGGCATCTCGCTTCTTCAGGAATAGTTGCCCATGGTTCTCGGAGGGATGGAAGCGAGAGGAAAGCTGGAAGGGGGAGGTTTCCTGCCATTGTGTGTTCCCATAAATTGGAAAATGAAGTTTGCAGAGCAGTGGGGTTGAAGACCGGGCCATCATGAGTGCTGCTGCTGTCTTTCTTAAATGATCTGGCCAATTGTCAAGAACCAAATATGGTTGCTACTTTGACATAGAACAGACAGAATAGAGCATTTAGTATGGTGTGTTGGAGATTTATTTCATAAATGTTTACTAAAACATTCATTTTTTATGGTAGATGCATGGGGAGGGAAGGGTCTGTGCTCGTAAGTGAATGCTGTGAAAGAGGGAAACTGAAGGTCATTGCGGCTGGTTGCTGTTAACATAAGACCCTTTTGTGGTTTGGATAAATGAACATGTCCATTCACTGGAGCCCATGCACTCACCCCTTTTAAGCAGAACAGCCTAGTAATACACACAGACACACACAAACACTATCACACTTATATACACACACACAATCAGTGGTGCCCAATCACTTCGCTTAAACAGCTCTAACAACTGCATGTAGAGCCAGTCCGTCTGCCATCCCTCTGCTCTCTGTTGATTTTTCTCGCTCTCTTGTTAATTTACAAAATATCTTCATGGAACATGATCTTTACTTAATATCCTAATTATTTTTGGCATAAAAGAACAATCAACAATTTTGACCCATACAATGTATTTTTGGCTATTGCTACAAATATGCCCGTGCTACTTATGGCTGGTTTTGTGGTCCAGGGTCACATATTAGCTAATGTTCTGTTTTCATATTATGCATGTATCTGTATTTTGTTGAAACTGCTCAATAATGAAGGAGTGCTGCAGGTTTGGACAGACATTTGCCATGATTGTCGTTCACTACAAACAGCATCTAACAGAAGCTGCTTTTCTCTAAATTAATTTAAGAAAAACATAACAAGGTTTCTGATTGGCCTCTGTATCACTTATGACCCCCACATGAGCGGCTGTACCTCTAGACTAATGGCTGAAATGAGGAGCTTGAGTCTGAACTGATTCTGGTTTATATCAAATCTTAATGGAGGAGCCGAAGGGAAATTATGTTTGGATCCCCCCAGACAATAACTAAATATGAAAGCCACTTAGTAAAAACATTCATTTTTTATGGTAGATGCATGGGGAGGGAAGGGTCTGTGCTCGTAAGTGAATGCTGTGAAAGAGGGAAACTGAAGGTCATTGCGGCTGGTTGCTGTTAACATAAGACCCTTTTGTGGTTTGGATAAATGAACATGTCCATTCACTGGAGCCCATGCACTCACCCCTTTTAAGCAGAACAGCCTAGTAATACACACAGACACACACAAACACTATCACACTTATATACACACACACAATCAGTGGTGCCCAATCACTTCGCTTAAACAGCTCTAACAACTGCATGTAGAGCCAGTCCGTCTGCCATCCCTCTGCTCTCTGTTGATTTTTCTCGCTCTCTTGTTTTCTTTCTCTCACCCACATCCCCAGATAAGCTTACTCATTTGTTGAGATTCATGTTGTAGTAGAAGTTGATCATGCATTCACTTACTCACTTGAGAGTAATTCTATATAAACCAACAGAGAGAAAAGTAAATATTTGTTGTTTGAACAATGACTTATTGAGCCTTTCCCTAGAAGTGAACTTGCATGTGATACCTGGGTAAGGTATTTGATTAGGTGTGTGTTTTATTTAACTCGATACTCTGCTCTTTTCTCTTTTTTTTATGCCAAAAACAAGCCATTGTATACTATCTAAATACATACGTTAGACTAATAATATCACTTTATAATTGTTTTTTTTTTAATTATTATACTTATTTT